AAGAGGCAAAGCAAGGTTTTCGATCAGAGAGTTATCGAGTGACCTTCAATCCAAGGTAAAGGTGGGGTTCCGACTCTATAATGGGGCTTATGGTGAATATTATGTAAGGGTTGGTTGCATGTATAATTATTGTGCGTATGGTTCTTTCGGGTCTTTTTCCGAATAGCCCGTTTTCATGTTATGGTGGTTTATGAATTTTCTGCATAACTTCCTGGTATAAATTGATGAATATGTTAGTGGAGATTATCGCACGTTGATATAATTGTCATGTCGCTATGTTATTCCAAGTTGTTGGTCAGAAATTAGTGATCAAAGAGGATACTGAAAGTCTGGGTTAACGTTCGTCATAGGCTGGATGAAGTCTGTGCGAAAATGTTGAAGACACGCCGCACCGAGGAGCATAGGTGCTAGGTGTCGAGCGGCACAAGGCTGCAAGGTGTGTCGAGGAGCACAGGTACTTGCGTCGAGCGGCACGAGGCTGCAAGGTGTGTCAAGGAGCACATGTAATTGTGTCGAGTGGCACAAGGCTGCAAGTTGTGCCGATGGGGCATGGTGTGTGTCGACCGACATAGAGGCATAAAGGGGGAGGTGCCGAGCGGCATGACCACTGTGTCGAGAGGCACATGTCTTTATTAATTCTTTTTTACTGTTCCTATGCACGTTGAGAGGCACATATTCTTTCTTATTCCTTACCGCTTTTGTGCATGCTAATTGGTTAATTATGTTCGTGTAACATTTTTAGTATAACAATTAGAGTTCTTAAGGTATTCTATCCCTAAATGATTAATGGGTTACTAGTAAATATAAGTTAGGAGCAAGATAGATAATATAATTAATAAGTCACTAGCAGTAAATTATATGAAATTAGAGATAGTAGTACATAACCGAAAATATTAGTATTCTAGCAGAAAACTATTTAGCCGGATATAGTCGAATAGCCCGAATAATTTTGCAGGACGTCGTAGTATATTTTGGTTGATATGGTGTGTTGTATACTTTGTTATAATTTGAGAATTGACAGGTGACAATGAATTTTGTTGAGATACCTCTAATTATTGGCATATATTAAGTTGTAGGCTTATGACCAATGTCGAGTTGTGTTAAGTTGTTGTTAAATTATTGTTGTTGTTGTTACTACATTCATACTGTTGTCACATACATAGCATATCAAGTTGAGAGCTCATGCTCGACAAGTTGGCCTAGATTGGCAAATATAAAGTTGAAGGCTTATTCCTTATTGATGCCTCTATCAACTGGCAGATTATTAAGTTGGGAGTTCTACTCTGTTGGTACCACATGCATGTGCATAAAAACAAGTCGCATTTTATGTTGCATTCCGAGTTGTGTATGAATGAATTGATTATGTTAAATATTATTAAAGAGCTGTGAAGTGGTGATTTTGTATGAACTGATTCTAATATATTATTTATCATGCATTCTATTACATTGTTTGATATCTCTCCCCTTCTGTTTGAATGTTACCCCTATATTGGTAACGTGCAGGTAATCCAAAGTGAAGGTTGTTTACCTTCAAAAGTTCGAGTTAATATCATCGCTCTGATACGTAACACTCGGGGGGGTGAATGTTTGTTGCTTTATTGTTGTGATTACTTTCGTGTCTGAAATTTAAATTGAATTACCAAGTACTTTGTTTTTCTTAAAGTTGTGTTCAGTTGGACAAAGATGTTATGTCATTTGAATTGAAAATTGTGATTCCGCTGCTTATTTATAAAAGTTGTTTTATTCTATAGACTAGATTATGTGGTTAATGGTTCATCCGAATTTAAGTGTTATGTATCTGTTTTACATGCGGATAAATGAAAGTATTTTTAAGTAGTAAATGTAGTATCCTAATTGTATGTTGAAATTTTGTAACTTTGATTTTAATATTATTCGCCAGGTAGAAATAAGGTGTTACATTAACACGTAAGAAGCATCCTTCACAAAATAGGACCTCTTATTTTTGGGTTCGAGCGCGACCCAAGCCAGGCTATCGCCCGTAACTATAGTTCCCCCCTGTTAGGGTCGGGCAAAATATTTTCCTCGACTATCTCAGCCATCGTACCATAAAATCAAGGAAAAACAATGAATTCTACATCATCAAATTCACCCTTCCACTGCAAATCAAGTGAAAGGGCCATGAACGCGTCGAGGAATGGTCCTCGACCCAAGCCCTCGACAGCGAAAACAGAGGAGAGCGATACCCTCTCGCGAGTATAAGAACATGTAGGGACATTTCATCGACAAAGCTACTTGCCCGAATCCTCCCCGACGACCCCGACGCAAGTCCAGATGGAGCTCACTAGAAATCCATGAATCTTCATCCGTATTTCATGAACCCAGATGAAGTTCATAGACCTTCATCCCAGAATCCATGAATATTCATTCGTATTTCATGAACTTCATCCATTCATAGGAAGATTTAGGCGTTCAATCAAAAAACCTAAGAAAAATCATGTTTAAAGAAGAAATTGCTTACTTGAAGAAGACGAACGGTGAAGACGTCTACGACGATGATGGAGCAACATAGCAACTTGCGAGCAGAGGAGAAACAGGAGGACAGAGAACTTGAAAATGTCAAGTGAATCTCGTGACTCCCCTTTTTATAGCTAGTTCTGCCACACGGGGTAGCGTGTGAAGGGTCATCATTACTTAGACTCTTAGATTACCCTAGGCAATGATGACATTCCAAATAGCTTCCACGCGGGACATGCAAAATGACACGCTACTGACAAGAGTCTCACGCGTGAAGCCACACGCTTACATTGTTTCATCCCTGTTGTCGAACACGCTTTCAACATTATTTATGGCACCTCACTTACGAGGACATCGAGGACATGAGTCGACCAAGGAAATTATCCCATAATAAGCCGACCACACCGTGCACAATCTCGTAGTCCTCTTCGACCTAAATCGCAGAGTCATCCCCGACGGGAGTTAACAGTTCCCCCTCTTAGGCAACACTTCCTCGGCATTTAGACTGGTCCTAAGTCATCGCCTTTTCACCCAAGAGCAATAACTTAAGGGGGTCCTTGTTCTAGACTAGGTCGACACCTGCCCCACCATTGGAGGTGCCCAATCCAGCGCCTCTGCAAAGGCCCAAAAGCATGCAGCCCAAACCAATGACTGTTGGACACTTCCCTATGTGTCCATTTAGGGAACCTGACTTGCAAGTGTCCATAATCGCCATCAACTTGCCCTCCAAGAATAACATGTTAAACTTCTCTATTTTCTCGGGGAAATTGACCAGGGAGAAGGCCACGTGTTAGACTCCATACACACGTAGCCTTGGCCGTCTTCATTATTGGTCCTTATCGTGGCCCAACACTGAAGACCTTGACCCAACGATATGGGCTATAAATACTCTCTCACATGAGAGAGTTAGGTATTCATCCATTCACTCTTACTATAGTACTTGCGCTCTGGTTGCTCTCATTCTTACTTTGACATCGGAGTACCTTGCAGGTACACCCCCTCTATTTCATTCAACAACTATCGTTCAACTCAAGCTCATGGGCCATGAAGATTCCTTCTGATCAGGTACGATCGTAATTGATTCTAGCTAACCTCCTAAATTATTATAGCATTGCAAAGTGAATCAAATGGAAATTGAGAAAACTTACACAAATTTAGAGCTTTGGAGATGAGTTGAAATGAGTTGAAATGAGTTTTTGAGTAGAAATGGGTAGAAATTTCAAGTTTGAGTAGAAATTATGTGTGGGTGGTCTTGGGTTTGAAATGGGTTATTAGTAGAAATGAGTTTTAATGTTCAGTTCGTGCTGATGAAAACAATTAAATTACTTCGGATATGCACATCTAAAGTATTAAATTGTGGGGTTGATTCAGATATGCACATGCGGAGTCACTTTTTCTTGACAAAAATAAAATGACTTTGGATATGCACACGTGAACCCCCTATTATTGACAAATACTGTGCGTTCGAATATACACATCTGAAGTCTAAGAGTATTTTAGATTTTTCGCCAAAAATTTACAACAAGACAACCAAGTGGTAAAAAAAATTATACAGCTTTAGTTGAGTTGAGTTAGGCAAACAAGTATTCATAAACTTCATTTTTATTTGCTTGGCAGACGCAATAAAAAATAATGATAGAGTACACAAAAATTAAAAGCAAAGAAAAAACGAAGAAAAAACGAAAGAAATAGTAATGAATTTGATAGGGAGAATAAGGATTCAATCCCCCACAATTTCAATCAAAAAGAGACTAAAATTACTTATTGTCATAAGTAACCCCCGAAATGGACTTTACCCATAATGACAAGTAGAACAGAAAAAATTCGAATATACCCACCATTTCTTTATCCTAAACCTACTACCCAACGTAATAACTTCAACTCCACTCCCATCACCGTTCATCATAAATAACTCAACGGTCACCAACTAATTCCCATACTCGTCACGCACACCCCGTTGAAGAAAAAACACCATAAATAATTAAATATAAAAAAAAACCACATATAGAAAATCTGCAACTCAAGTTAAAATAACTAAAAAACCTCTGAAATTTCTGATAATCTTCTCTCTCTCACGCTTTATTCATCTTCCAGTTTTTCCCTTTTCTCATTCTTGCTCGCATCTTCAACAAACCCTAGCGTTTTCTTCCTCCCCGGCGACACACGGAGATGTCAATGGAAGATTTGCGCTCGTTCGAAATCCTTTCCATCCTTCTCTCCGCGTTTTTCCGTTACAGCAGATCTCCTCGAATACCGAAGAATTCCATACACAATACGCAAAGAAAAGCTACTTTCACGCCTGCGTGTTAAGGTTTCTTCTTCAAATTTTTCTATTCTCACCCTTCCTTTACTTTCTATTCTCGAAATTCGTATGCTTCTAGGGTTTCAAATGAAGATTGAAATCGTGATTTCGAAATAGGTTAGAGTTTATTATTTTTAGAATTTCAGAGAAAATATTGTTCTATTGTTCTATTTCTGTATTCTTGTTGAATTTTGCATTCGGTATTTTTGGCTGAGAAGTTGAAATGGGTGGAAAGTTAGAATTGGGGCTGCCGAAGAACGGTACTCTCGATCCGAGAGAGAAAGAGGCCAAGATTATACTTAATCACATTAGGGCTCAAGGTCATCCCTACATTGAGTTACGTGAGAATGGAAAGAAATTTATATATTTCTGTGTTTTGTGTCTTGCTCCGTGTTACAGTGATAGTGTTGTGTATGATCACTTGAAAGGGAAGCTTCATAGGAAGAGATTGGATTCTGCTAGAGATACTATGTTGAAACCGAATCCGTGGCCTTTTAGTGATGGTCTTATATTTTTTGATGCTTTGACTGAGAATGAGAAAAGGGCGGAATCTTCCAATGTCATCCAAAATGACAATCACAATAGTCTTGCTATTGTGCCGTTTGGTGAAGAGGCTCAGTCGGATGCTCAACCAATTGCGACGGATGATGCACGATCTGATGATTCTATATTGGTGATTCCTCGTTTGAAGATTGCAACTGAAGCTATTGATGTACGTGTTAGGAAAGTTGGGTTGGGGAAGATTTCTGCTAGGTTTGCTGAGAAGTATGGCTCTTTAAATGGGAGTGAAATTAGAAGGATATGGTGTGAATGGTTAGGTAAAGAGGATAGTCAAGTAGATGACGTTGAGGTTCAAGAGCATGATTTTGCTGTTGTAGTTTTCCCTTACAGTTATGATTTGGGTCGGGACAAAGTGCTTGAGGATACAAATACTAAGTCGTTACTCCCATCCACCTCTATGGTAGAACTGGAAAATGGAAGGAAAAGTGTGCGAAAGAGAAAAGCACCATCATCCGACTCTGAAGATGTTAGTGAATTTTTCCGTAAGCATTATGCTTCTTCTGCGGAAGAGTCTCCTCCGCCTTTGAGGAATGCCCCCTCAACATCAGCACTTGATCAATCCAACAGTCAGCTTCTTCGCACCAAGTTTGTTTCAAACAGGGCTACTAGGAAGGCAATAAGACGGCGAGAACGCTTAGCAGCAGAGAAAGTATGCAACATCTGTCAACAAAACATGATTCCTGGTAAAGATGTAGCAACATTTTTCAATTTGAGGACTGGAAGAGTAGCTTGCTGCAGTCGGAATCCAACTGGGGTAAAATCATTTCGTTAATGCTCTGATCCTGTTTTGCTATGTTTATTTGTTAGTAATAAAGCAAGCATGTGTAGAAACTTAAGATATTGAAAGTTGAAACTGCATTTTATTCACAATTATTTAAAACTTTGGAAAAGAGTTCAATTTCAATTACAAAACACGGAAGTTATATTTGCACTTATTTGCAGGCATTTCATGTGTTTCATACGGCCTGTGTCATACACTGGATACTCTTGTGTGAAAATGAAATAATCACAAATTGTTTAGTTAATCAAAATGGTAGTCAAGAAGGGAAGAGAAAGACTGTATCAGGCAGTGGTAAAGAAGACAGGGATATCAAACATGTTTTCTGTCCAGAGTGTCAAGGTGCTGGTGTGATCATTTCAGATGAGTTGGAGCATCCAAAATTTTGTTCTCTGTCCCAGGTTTGTTTATGTGGATAATCCCTAATCCTTCATCTTCTATAACCTCTCTTCCCTGTTGATCTTGTGTTAAAAAAGTTTATTTGAATTAATAATCTTCTTGCAGATGTTTAGATTGAAATTAAAGATAATTCTACAACGCAAAGAATGGATCAAGAATTCTGAAGATTTGGAGAATTGCTCAATTGGGTTTGATTTCCCTTCGGAATGTGAAGAGATAGCTGAGGTATTTTACATTTGTTCATTGATTGATTTTCATCTAAACTTAGATGATAAAGAGTGTTTGACCTTCTAATATATATTGTGATGGCTTTGGTTACAGGAGAAAGTGGAGCCATTAAAATTGTTGCAATTCTATCGTGCAGATGATGAATGTGCGGTGAATTAGAATTGTGTGAATGTTACATTGAGTTTGTAGACTGCTGTATATTTGAGTACATACATTGGCTTTGCATTTTAAAGAACTATGTAGCTTTTTAGGTAAATGTAGATTTGAAAAAGACGAGTTATATAACCTCGTAGACAGTGTTCAGATTTAACATTGTGTATGTACATGTTCTTACGACAAATGTGTACATGGTTAAGGAATATCAAATATGGTTCTAGAGTTGCATTCTTATTTCTTACTCCTATTTCTGCTTATTAATTTTCCAATTATTGAGCGGGAAATTCTTATTTACAACCCTCAAAAAGTTGAGAAGAGTTACCCTTAGTTTATGATCTCTAAAGTTAGCATGAATTTAACTATTGTTATGCGTTAGCATGAATTTAGTAGAGATTTATTTATTTATTAACATTCATAATCGTTAAGATCCTAGGATCAATACGTTGAACCTGTACTACAAATAATAGTTGCTCAGAGAAGGAAAAAATAACAATGTTATCTCTCATTGCCAAGTTCCGAACCGAGTACAACATAGTCAAATGTAATCAATTAACCACTTGATGCTATCTGCCGTAATCAATTTATGACATAAATGCGTGTAAATACTTTGTTGTAATTGAATTTATTTCTATATTTGATTAAAAGCATGTCACATGGTTATTCAAATACGTTGTGATGTTATATAATGCCTTTTGTATAAAATGTTCAAATGGTGATTAATAATCAATGTGATAATTGTGATAAAATTTCTTATCTCAAACATCAAACTGATTTTTGGAAAACATGTTAATTAAAACGGTAGTCAATAGATACCATCTTAAAGTGGAAATCGTAACTATATGTTTTTTTAATTACCAGAAATAATCAATTTCTGGTCATTTCACAATTAGCTAATATTTAAAGTGGAACTATATGTTTTTTCTGAAGCATCTTAAAAATCCACCTAAAAATTCATCTGATGACATCATGCGCATTGATTGCGTTTATTTAAAATTGAGATGTCATATACCAAAGACATTACTAGAGTGGAAGACACATTTCACACAAGATGCTAAAAATTGGTCGGATCACTTTCTAAAAAAGATGGAGGAGTTCACTAAATTGAGCGACATTGAAAGAAAATAAATAAGAAACTGTTAAAGAATGAACCACCAATAGATTTAGGTAGTGGCACGTGTTTTGATACATTTTAGTTTTAATCTAACAATTAAACTCATTTTTTATGTAACGTTGTCCATAATGTTAGAAAATTGGATGGTAATTTTTGGATAATTTTTGTGTTTCTAAATTCTGCAGTGCATAATACACCGGTTTTGTATGAACAATAATTTGAGTGGTTTCGGAGATGCATCTCATAACACGCCTTTAAAGTATTAAAAAAACAAAACATGGGACTATACGGATGTGCATCTTCGTAAAGACCCTTATTTTTCTAAAAATATATGGTGTATCCGGAGATGTATCTACGAAATATGTTTCAGTGATAAGATAGGGTTTGTAAGATCCTAATCGATCTACAAATTCTATAAATAGAGGTTTCTCATTCCATGTTCTTTATAAATACCAAAATAAATACATATCCACATCTTGCATTTGTGTATTTCAATGACGCAAATCTCCAACTTTAATTTAGGGTCTGCAAGGATACACTTCTCGTCAATCTGAAATCAAAACTGAATACTCTCTTATAATATCCAAAAAATTAGGGAGTTATCAAGCTCGAGTATCGTTCACCCTCGATTGACAACAAAAAGAAATTGCAATTTACCATGCTTGAATTAAAGACGGATGATGATTTAAAGGTTATGTGAAGTACATTTTACCGTTACTGAACAAAGGACACAATTGAAGTGGATGCGACAATTTCAAGACCAATAAAAAAATATTATAAAGACGTTGCAACGTCCTGAGCCACATGCTTGTAATGGAATGTAATGTTAAATTTATGTTAATGTTAACGATTATTTATGTAACATTTAATTTGATGCTAATTTATGTTATTTTTTCATTTTGCCATTGTTCCTGATTGTTCCTAATTTGAACTAACATGACATATTCCAAAGATGCATCTTCGAACATACGTTTTAACAAAATAAAGTTTTCTCATCAATTTCGGCTGCTTATAACCAACATAGCGTATTTCGTAGATCCATCTCTGGATCATTATGGTTTTGTACTAAGATGCATCTCCAGACTACTTTTTTTAACAAAATAAGGGTTTCTCATCCATTATCACTGATGAATGTGTTAAAAAGGTGGATTGCGAGATGCATATATGGATGCTATGGGAAGTTGTGACTTTTCACTATGGTGAGGGAGTACCCCTAAGAATGGGAAGATCAATTCCCTAAATAATGAAGAAGTGTAGAGTCATAATTTTCTAACGCCATCTATATGACAAGCTTTGAGTTCAAATATTACATGTTAAATATCTTGATGTCACATAGATATGATAGTTCTTATACTTGGAGATGTGTCCTTAAAGCAATTTGTTATGTTGAAGATGACTCATCTATCATAATTTTGGGCCGATCAAAGGCCCAATATGGGTGGGATCCAAGTGTTACACCTAATGATGCAAAATCCATTAAAATTATCTAACATATATATTTGACACATGTGAGTAAGGCCATTAACTAGGAACTTATTGTATCTTCCACGTCGCCACATGATAACACGAAATTGTATCGTTTATTTTCCATGAAATTTACCCGTTATGTATTATTTTGACCCGATTAACTCCCGAATATTTCGAGTTTGTCATTACTTTTTGCAGGTATTCATAACTCAGCTCAAAACAGAAGAAAACATGAAACAATGCAAGAATGCATCAAAAAAATAGAAGAAAAAGATAAATCTGTCAAGAATTACAGATTTTGTAACTGTGACGGTCGTAACACATCTGCCACGACCGTAAGCCATCATGAAGCGTGTTACGACCGTAACACATCTGCCACGACCGTAACACGGAGAAACACCAAACCTGCTCGTAACGCCTCAGTGACGACCGTAATGCGCATACCAGTTATTTGAAAGTGAAGATCGTGGAAAAGCAAAACAGAAGGAGTTTTCAAACTCCTTATTTCTCTCCAGTCAAACCCCACGTCCACCACTTCTTCCTCAACTACCCACGTTCCTAAATTTGTGGAGATTTTTAAGGAAAGCTTCGTTACAAGTCTTCAAGCCAACTGCCAAATTGATTCCTCTATAAATACCTCAACATTCAACGTTAGAAGGAGAGAGCATATTACAGTTTACTTGTGCGGAAGCTCTGCCGAAATCAAAACCATTATTCCTTCAGTTGTTATTTTTCTGCATTCGTTTATTTCCGTTCTTTTAATTTCATTGCCCAAATAATAATTTCCAACATCAGGAAATTATTATTATAGTTTAGGATTTATTATTCAAGCCTCAGAATTTGTCATATTACCGATACCAAGTCCGAGTTTCCGATTTATGGAAGAGGGATTGAAGTATTGGCTTTATTTTCAGGTTTCTATTTTGCAATTGTATTACATACCTTTTAATTAATTAATGCATGTTTAATTTATTATTTATAATGTCCAATCTATATTTGTTTGTTTTTATTTCCAGTACGTTCATTATAATTTCCATGGCTAGCTAAACCTTTAGCGTCAATATGGGATAGTAAGAGACATTAGGCATCTAATCAAACTTAGGCTAAAACTTTAATCAACTTAACTCTGGTTATAACTTTTTATGCTTAAAAATAAAACCTTTGTTACGAAAGTAAGAAGAGTAAATAGGTTAGATCGAGACCACGAAAGTGTGAGGTTTTTAACCGGATAGCTAAAGTTAGGCATTTGATTTAAATACAGTGAAAGCGCTTTAAACCAAATTAGAATTAATTAAGTTTCCAAAAAATACTTCTAAACACTTATAGGCTAGCGAAAGCAGGTATAGGGCTTTAGACGTATAATCCGAGATAAGACCATGAAAGTGTGAGTTGAGGGTTTTTAAACTGATTAATTCTACAGATAAACCAAGTTGACCATCCTTATATGCCTAGGTCCGATTAGATCCTTTAGGTTGACTCTATTGCATACCGACCATTTCATTTTATAATTACTTTGAAATCAATTAGTTTACCTTCCCAAAACCAAACGTGACAATTTCCGCCTTAGCTAAACTAGCATTACTTTCCCGCACTAGAGTGATTACAAAGTCCCTGTGGATTCGACAATCTTTTATTACTACCGCGATAGGCTGTGCGCTTGCAGTTAAGGTACCGTTAGACATTAGGTCGATCGCAGACACATCAAGTTTTTGGCGCTGTTGCCGGGGACTTTAGTTTAGTCACTAGTGTAATCTGAAAACAACGCTGTCTAGACTAAGGCAACTTTTTATATTTCCCTCTGTTGTATGCCAAACACTCGTTCTCAAAACGAGCCTTTGCATTTACAAATTAACGATATCGAGCGTTACTTAAGATTAAGATGCCGAATTCAAGAATACCGATCTCTCAATAATCTTCCTCCGACTAAAATTCCTGATATCCCGTTATCGGAATCTACCGAAGAATCGACAATGGCTGACGTACCAAATCCGCCTCACGCTCTTAAGGACTATGCAGTTCCTTCGCAAGCGGAGCCTCACAACAGCATTGCCGCCCCTGCTATCGCTCGAAACGATTTCAAGCTGAAACCTTCGCTTCTATCCGCCGTTCAGCAGAACCAATTTTCTGGAGCTCCTACTGACGATCCTAACCTACATTTGTCAGTGTTTGTGCAGTACGCAGACACTGTGAAAGCGAATGGTGTAAACCCCGAGGCGATGCGATTGCGCCTATTTCCTTTTTCTTTAAGAGACAGAGCCCGAGCCTGGCTCCAATCCCTTCCTTCAAATTCAATCACCACATGGGATGAATTGAAAAAAGTCTTCTTGGCTAGATATTTCCCACCAAGCAAAACTGCTATGCTTAGAGCTAACATCAACGGTTTTAGACAAAAAGATAACGAATCACTTTTCGAAGCATGGGAACG